GCTTGCTAGGCAGGCGCTTTGCCGCTGAGCTAAATCCCCAGCCCGACCCTCTGTATTCTTAAGAATATATCAAACAAATTTCATCGAGAAAGTTTAAAATAAATTTAGAATAATTAAACAGGATGTAATGAAACTTGTTACTGAAAATGACATGAGTTCTCAGAATTTTGCAAACTATGACCATACTCATGAGATAAAAATAATTTGAGGATTTATCCTTTGAGGCTGGGCATGATAACACACGCCTATAATCCCAGCACTCCAGAGGCTGAGGCAGGAGGATCACCATGAGTTTGAGGCCAGCCTGAACTACACAGCAAGGCCCTGTCTCAAAAAAAAAAAAAAAATCCTTTGAAGTCATTTAAACCAGAATAACCCTTTGATTAATTGACTATGGTAAATTATCTTTAATTATTATTTGTGTTAAATTTTAAAAAATCTTTTAAAATGATAATCTGTTTATGGAGTTCCAACAAGAATCTGTTTTCCTAATTGTTAATGCTAAAGCTATTGACAAAATGATATGTTTTTATTTTTTTTTTTACAAAATGATCATTAAGAAAAATTTAAAAGGTCTTCCATGTAAGGAATACCTAATTTCAAATAATAATGAAAGTAGTAATCATCCATGCCTTCTCTTTTAGTACAGTATACCGAAAAGGAAAACAAATGAATTGAAATAAACCCAAAGTATTTTCTGCGCAGATACAAACAAAACTGTACTGATGTGAATTCAGGCTAAAGTCACGCGCTAGCCTGTGACCCGGACTGTTCCTCCCACAGGCAGGTCACAGGCACAGGGAGGAGAGCACCGCGGAGGCCAGGCTGTCTCCTCGGAAAGGATGACCTGGCTCAGGGTGGCGGAGGGGACACTCTAATGGAGTTTAGGTACGGACCTTGGTTTACGCTGTGGTGGCCCGCTCGTAACAGCACACTGTCACCCTTCGCAGTGACCCCCATGGAACAAGGATGAGTGTCGGAACTTTCCCTTGAAGATTCTGTTTCCCTGTTTTACTCCTGAGAGGAAGAGAGTTATGTTTTCTCGAGTCACAGAATTAAAGTTTTGAGGAATCGTTGGTCTCCTCTGTGTCCCGCTGCAGGGCGGACAGGTCCATCTTTCTGCCGTCACATGACCCCCCACCCATGGATCTCTGGAGGCGGATGGAGGCTGGAACGGGCCATCGTGGACCAGTTTGCTTGGGGTTTCCAGTCTATAATGCGATCTTTCCTTTTAATTTCCATGGAGACACACAGTCAGATTTTTCTTGGTGTCGTGAATAAAATGCCTCTTTAGAACTACATATAGTGGAAGAGAAAATAAAGACTGTTAGGTTTTGAATCATATATTTTTCACTTCTCATCACTAGAGCAGAGCACTCTAAAATGTTATTTTATAAAATCTTAGTTTCATATTATGTCACTCTCTGGTATTTCCCAATGGTTTAGATGTTTGATCACTTTTGCTGGAGTTTTCCTAGCATAATTCACACAGTAGTTTACATATTACTTACAGGATATGTTCGGTGTTGTCATGATGCGTGTGCAGGCCTTAGTCCTACACTGTGAGTAATAGAGTTTCTGTTCTTTCAGGCAGTTGTCACTAAAGAAAGCCCTGAGAGAATTATAAACAGCGTGCAGTGTGATGGCTCAGAGACCCTTTGTTGTACTGATGTGACTCAGTTGTCATTAGTGATCTGGTTTTATGAACGCAGTTTACAGTAAATTAGGGCTGTGAGATGGTAATTAATAGACTGACTAATAAACTTCTATTGCAGGTGACTGCCTTCATTCTAGCATGCAGTCATTAGTGTCTGCGTTGAGTGCAGCTGCTCTATGTAAAGTTTGATTTTAGGAGCTGTGTTGGTTACCAAAAAGTGGGCTGTAATTTTCAGTTCACAAAGGTGGAAGAATTCTTGCCTTATCTTTGGAAATCCATTGTACAATAGTGCCTTATTTTCTTTGAGAATACAATTGATTTCTGTTGTCTTCTGTTTATTAATGAACTTACTCCAGAGGTATTTCCATTATAACATAGAAAAGATTCTACAGTAAGAGTCATTTCCTGTGATATAGTTCCTACACTATTATTACTCATGTATTTAGAAAAATATTACCTAAGTTCATATTGAAAATTTAAATATATATGTTGATTTTTGCTGTGTCTATTAGATGTATTTATTCCACAAATAGCGAAACACGTGTATTTCATGACATAAATCAGTTGACAGTAATTCTCACTCAGTCCATCGTTTTGTCCTGGACATCTGTAAAGTTGATTGTAAGATGTCCACTTCATATGCTGTCTGTGTGCTCGTCGTTGTATGGAACTGACATTTCCCATGTACCTGTCTCCTACGGAACTTGTTATAAAAATATATAGTATTTTATATATAACTATAGTTACGTGAATACAACAAAGTGTCTCTGAATCATCAGACTGCAAGTTGTTTATTATACTTTTACGTTTTGTTCAGTGATGACCCCTGAAGGAAGGTAAACTCTGTTATTCAGAATATAGGGTGAAGGACTACACATGCAGGGTATATGAACTATATATATTCCTACTAATATATTTCCTGCACCCTGAAGTAATAAATCATTTACAATGAAGAATGACAAAACAGGAAATCTACTGACAAGTCAACTTGGTAATTTCAGATTATAGTAACTTCAACCGAAATCCTTAAGAGCACGTTAGCTATAAAGTTAGAAAGAAATCCTCCATGTTTTAACTCTTACATAATTTATGTTTGATTTGTTTTAATTTTAAAATGTTAACTTTTTAAAAATTAAAAGTAGTCTAGCTAGGTCTGGTGGTGCAGGCCTGTAATCCTAGCACTCGGGTAGGTTGAGGCAGGAGGACAGAAAGTTTGAACCTAATCTGGGCAATTTAGCAAGACCCTATCTCAAAATGAAAACTAAACACTGGGCTGGGATGTCGCTCAATGGAAGGGCCCTGGATTCAGTATGTGGTTACACACACAGGCGTGCACACACACACAAGTTTAGAAGAGTTGTCCAATAAAGGTAAAAAATAAGTAAAATATCTTTTGAGAGGTTTCTTTAACTATGTAATCATCAGATCTAATTTGATTATCAATTTTTATTAATACAATTGCTATCTCAACATTTTTCTTCACACAGAATTATACCTTGAACTTTATTATTGCTTGTTAAAAGCAATTATTGCTATTTATCATGACAGTAAATAAAACATTATTGATCACTTGCAATGATAAATGTACATAAATGGTCAATTGGAAAAATAACCAATTTTATGAAGACATTGCTGAAAACTGTTAGTAAATACGTATGTGTATATTTATAAACATGCAACACATAAATTTACATGAAATATAAAATAAAAATACTATACAGAATAGCTGGCGTCAAAACTTCGATGGAGTACTTTGTGCATGTTCCTCAGTTTTAAAGATGTGTTCATTTTTAGAGTTCCCAACTTGAATTATAATTAACTCAGGCCCAGATTTGGGTTAGTGTTAATGAACAGAAAGGGACTGGGTAGATAACCCCAAGAGCTACCTGAAAGATTTTAGCACTCTGAAATCACTGGCCAAGGCCAAGGACATGCAACACATTGAAGTACATCCAGTGTTAAACGTGAAGTTTTTGTTACTGTGCACTCATTTGTTCATTCCTTCGTCAGACGCCCTTGCTCACCATTCCACGTTAAAATTGCCAGAATGACAGTTTGAACTTCATTCCTGTGTCTTAGACATTGCTTCTGTTAAGACTATTCCTTCTGCAGTGTTTAACTGTCTGACCTTTAATTTACATAATTATAATAATTGCAGTAACCTGATGCCGCCAGGTGCATTTTGAAGCAGCAGTTCTCAACACAACAAAAGGGCTCAGCTCAGTGTGAATGTTTTGAATCATTCTCGATTTCTCTTTGGTGCAGAGGTACCTGCCGGTTGACACCGTGGAGTCGGGCATCCACCCCACCTATTTCTGCAGCGCTCACTGCACTGAAATGCTGCTGAAGACCGAGGCGCCGCTTGTGTCCTCGGCGTTCCACATGTCTGGGTTCGCACCGTCGCAGGTAACCCGTCGGAGCAGCGCTGCTCCTCCAGATCCGTGTCTTTCGGGAAAATGTGCTTCTCATCAGAAATGGGAAATTCGTTCCAGTCAACAAAAGGGTGCACGTACATCTCTAAACAGGCCCCCCAGCCTGCTTGTTCAAACAGGATTTGCATTATAGTTGATCCCTGCTGTCCCAGATTGTGAGTTTCTTTTCAGCTCTTGGGGCAAAACCTTGGTGAGAGTTGGTGAGATCATGTGGGCTTTTCAGTGGAAACAGTGCTTCCCCAGCACTGATGACGTGAAACGCAGGCCGTAGAAGAGTTAACCGAGGGATCAGGACAGGAATTGCACCAGTACGGGGAACACTGTCACAGCACACGGGAAAGCTCACAGGACTCTGCCTTCGCCACCGCCCCGGGACGCGGTGGGTTCCATGCCTTCGCGGCCCGGGCTCCCACAGCGCCCGGTCTGTGTGGCCGTAGCAGTCGCGGCTGCGCCCGTGCCCCTCCTGTGCACTGCCTGTGTTGGTGCAGGTGTGGCTGTTTCCTCCTCATGCTGCAGTCAGGCTACACTGAGTTGTCGTGTCTGAAGCTTCCTCCTTTGAGCTGGATCTTCAGGTCGAGGACCGAGGTGCAGCTCAGTAGTAGAGCGCTCGCTAGCATGGGTGAGGCCCTGGTTGGATCCCCACCGCCCAACTGTGGTCAGACTTTCTAAAAGTAGAAATACTTACTCAAAAGATAGGAACATTTTTAAGACTCTTGACTATGTACCAAATTGCTTAATTTTACTGTCTTGATGTAAATGAGGAGCGCTCCAGTTATTTAGGTCTTGAGTTTTTGACTTTTGAAAAACTAGTCACTAATTTAATAGATCAAATTTTTCTCATTTTTGGATTTCGTGTTTCTTTGAACATTAGCCCATTCAGTTATGTGTTCATAGTTTCATTAATGAGTCAGGTCTTCTTTTAACTGCTCACGTTAGTGTATTCCTTAATGTTTCTGTGTTCTTTAAAAGTGGAACCCACTGTCCAAACCTCTCCCACTCCAAAATATATATATTTTACTTATATGAACCATGTACTACTTTCTATTACTACGTGTTAGTAGTGCAGAATGGTAAGTAAGGTTCATTTGGGAAATTGGCGTGTGACTTTAACATACCTTGATATTTCCAATCCCAATGCTCCCTCTCCTCTTTCTCCCCTCCCCTCTCCAAAAGCTACCTTCTAGTTTCCTGTCTCCTCTCTCCCTTCCTCCTCTTCTCCCTCCATTCTTTCCTTCCTGCCTGGCCATTTGTACTTCCTTAGAGAAGTGTTTATTCAATTCTTTTGTCCATTTATGAATGCTGCTACTGATTTTTGTGTGTTGATTTCTTCATGAGGTCTAAAAGTCTTCTGGTGTAGGTTTGTGGGCCTTGTATGTGAAGAATTACACCATCCAAAAATAAGGATAATTTGATTCCTTTGTCCCTTTATTGATTAGGCTATATGTTCTCTTGGTGTTTGGGGTTTTGATCTCTTTACATGTTCCAGATTTTAATCTTCTGCTGGAAGAGTGGCTGGCAGACATCCTCCCGCCATGCGGGCTGTCCCTCCTCTCTGTTGGGGAGCTGTCCAGTGTGATGTATCACACATGCTGACTCTGCTCCCTGTGCTGCCCGGAGTCCTACTCCAAGGCTGTGCCTGTGCCTTTGCTGCAGGGTTTCCTGGTGCTGTCCTTCAGCAGTTTCTCTTTTGCAGGTCTTACACCTGTCTTTTATTCATTTTGCATTGATTCTTGTACAGAATGAGAGCCAGGGATCTAATTTCAGTCTTTGATGAGTGGAGACCAAGTTTTCTAGCGCCAGTTGTTAAGAGAATGTCATTTCTCCAATGTATACTTGGGGCTGCTCTGTCCATATGGCTGTAGTTAACTGGGTTTGTTTCTGTGTCCTCTGTTTTGTTCCATTGGTCCACATGTCTATTATTGTGCCGGTACCATGCTCTTTTTATTACTGTGGCTTTGTAGTATGTTTTGAAATCAGCTACTATAATGCTTCCAGCCTTGCTCCCCCTCCCAAGATTGCTTTGACTATTCTGGGTCTTGGTGTTTCCATATGAATTTTAGGATTGATTTTTCCAGTTCTGTGAAGAATGTCGCTGGCATTTTGATGGAGATGCCATGGATCAGTAGATCCCTCTGGGTAGCATGGCCATTCTGACCGGTAGTAATTCTGCCAACCCATGAGCTTGGGAGATCTTTTCATTTTCTCATGTCCACTTTGCTGTGGTCAGTGTGCTGACATTTTCATTGTAGATGCTTCCTACATTCTTGGTTAGATCAGTTCCTAGGTTTGGTTTTTTTTTTTTTAAGCTATTGTGCATGGAATTGTTCTGATTGTTTTCTGCTCAGCTAACCCATTGTTGATGTTTAGGAATGCTGCTACTGATTTTTGTGTGTTGATTTCTTCATGAGGTCTAAAATTCTTTTGGTGTAGGTTTGTGGGCCTTGTATGTGAAGAATTACACCATCTGAAAATAAGGATAATTTGATTTCTTCCTCTAGTTTTCATACCTTTTTCTTTCTTTTACCCAACTGCTCAGGCTTAAGTTTGCAACACCAGATTGGACAGGAGTGGTGAGAGGGTCACCTTGTATCACTCCTAATTTAGAGGTGTTTTCAGATTTTCATCCTCCTGTAGGGTGTCTGTGGGCTTGTCACAAACGGCTTTACCAGGTTGGGGTGAGATCTTTCTGTACTACTTTCATGAGGATTTTTATCATGAAGTGATGTTGGATTTTGTCAAAGGCTTTTTGTGCTTTTGTTAAGATGATCATTGATCTTTTTTTTAACCTTTGAGTCTGTTTATGTAATGTGTGCTTTAATGTGAAAATGGATTACTAAAGACTATGGGAAAAGCTTGGAATCTCTCAGGCCCCACTGTATCCATTTAGCAATCAAAAGAAACACATTCTTCTATTGATTTGATATATTTTATTAGTTAAATTATTTTATCAATTTGAAACTACATATAAATAGATTTATTTAATAAAGGTATTGTATTATTTCTAAGCAGTAATGTTAATCTTTTTCTTAAATTAATGTAAAAATGCTCTTATAATGGCTCCCTATTGAGCTAATCATTTGGCTTTCAGAAGTACATATTCATTGCTTTGTTTATATTATTTTTCATTTTATTGCTAATTATAAAATATGAAAACAGGGTTTAAGTAACTAAGTAGGTATATGTGATAAAGTAATTATCTGGGTACAGATTTGATGTTAAAGCTTATTCATCTTGATCTAATTAGGAGCAGAGCTTTTTGAAGTTATGTATTTTTAGGCAGTAGGGGATTAGTTGATTAGTGCAGGATTTGTGGGAAGGTTGCTACATGAAATATAGAGTTCTCTAGAGTAAAAGTAATAAGCTCAACCAGAGTACAAAACATTAAACATGCTCAGAAGTGCATATTTGTTGATTAGAATTTCTTTTAAGAGTAACTGAGATTGGAAAGAAAATAGAAGTTTGAATATATCTTCTCTCAAGTGAGTAACAGAAAATCATGTTCTGATTAACTTTTTGAAGTTTTATTTTCCCTTAAAAACTGTCCTTTTGTATTTTGTTCACTTTTCTGGCTTAAGAAGTACCGCTTACTGAAAGATCTGTGTCCTGTGCTTGTGTGGGCGCTCGCCCTGCTTGTCAGATGGGTGCGCTGCACCCCGTGGATGAGCCCGTAGATGTCCCCTAAGAATCCAGCTCAGCTTCCTCCTGCGCAGGACCCCTTCACCAATGCTGGACCCAAGGACACTTTCATAGTTTGTGATGGCCCTTTTCTAAACTTAAGTATAAATGCAAACCAGTCTTACCTTAATGTACAACAAGGATACTGTCTTATATTCTTGTAATGACTTTTTGTAGTTTAAAAAATATTTCCCAATTGTATTTCATTTAAACTTTTAACCTTTCTTAAGTGGCTGATGGAAAATTCAGAATCAGTGAAGTGAATCAACTTATTAATGTAACTTGTGTAGTGAGGATTTCACTTAATAACACTAGGATTCTGAGGTTAGTTTTCTTTGTTGCTAATTCTTTGTTGCTAATTTCTTGGTTGCTAAGCAAATAAAGTAAGGCAGGCAGAGTTGTTAAAAATAGTGTCTTTGAATCATGAAACTTGGTCATTTAGCAGTCACATCTAACCTGTTCTTACCTGGAAGTCTGTAAGTAATTTTAAGCAAACTCTTGACTTTACTGAGGTCACATGCTGGGCTATGGGAGTTACAGATAGAACCCTTGCCATCTTTTTTAAGGAGGCTTGTGGACTCAGTCCATAACATTAATGTACCAAATTGTTAGTGTTAATCTCTTTGTCACTGTTATTTTTAAAAAACTTTCCCATTTTCCATAATGGGAGTATATTGCTCTTACAGTATGAACAAATGTTATTCAGAAAATAAGCTAAACGAAAGGGCAAAAACAAAACTGAAAAGCAACCTTTTTGTAAAAAGTCTCATTTCCAAATTATTCTCTACATTAGCTCTCAGTTTTTATGTTATATAATTCTGTGTGGTTTAAATTGTTTTCTGTTTCGGCAAGAGTCCATTTGCATTAATCTAACATTTAGCAGTCTGCCATCTGCATAATTAAACATCTGTGATTGTAGGTAGGACAGGGAAATTCGAATCTCTGAGTTAAAATAGCCTCTTAGCGTTTGTTGTCTGCAGAGAGCCGACTGGTGTTCTGGGTGAGAGGCAAGCAGCACGTCCAGCGAAGGCGTCAGCAGTAACCACGCGAACACCCTCAACTTTCCCGGATGCCTGCGTCTCGGGCCGCGGGCTTGCTGTCATGCGCACACGGGGGAGACCCACTCGTTAGGCAGCTATGCAGAATGTCATGCTTAATTAATGCAAGGTTTTCACGGTTTTGTGTTACTATTGGTGGCTGCTTTTTAAAAGTCAGATGTAGTTTAATAAGCTTTTTAATAAACTTCCTTTTTTTTTAAAGATTTGCCTGCAATGGATCACTCAGTGTTTCTGGAATTACTTAGATTGGATAGAAATATGCCATTACATTGCAACTTGCATTTTCCTTGGTCCTGACTATCAAGTATATATCTGCGTAGCTATATTCAAGCATCTGCAGCAAGAGATTCTACACCATACTCAAGCCCAAGATCTGCAGGTGTTCCTAAAGGTACGTTTATATCGCGGGGGAATGCTGATGGAGGCGTAATAGCCAGCTTGGGGTGTGTAATGTCAGAAGCTTTTCTAGACATTCATCCAGTTCCGAAGCAACTTTGAGAGGCAGGTGTTCTGAATATCTCCATTTCAGAGATAAAGGAGGTGAGGCAGGAGTTAAATAAGTTACTCCAAGTGCACAGCTAGAGTAGAGCCGGGCCGTGTGGTCAAGCTGCCTGGACCTCACACTTTGCTCTGGACTAGTGTGCTCTCCCGAAAGACATGCTTCTTTTAGCATCACTGTGTCTTATTTGGCCAATAAAAGCACTGGCCAGAGGTTTGATACTTTTTAATAAACATTTAATTTGCTGTACCTTCATATCCTTCATCATATTTTCTTAAATTTCTATTTTTATGAGAGGTTTTCATGAAAGGTGGTTCTATTGCAGCATTCTTTTAAGAATGTTATGTCTGGTAATATTTTAGAGCAAAATATAATTACTTACTTCAGCCATTACAATAATGTGACACTTGAAGCTCCGATCTTCGGGGAGTATGCGGTGTATAAATGCACTCCGATGGGTGACTCTCCGTGGAAACTCACGACTGTTGGGACTCAAAATCTTGCTTTGAGTCTGAGGTGGTTCCTCCCCTCTCCCCTGCCGCCCCACAGGCACGCATGCCACACGCTCACCCAGACCAGCAGTGTCACCTTCTAGAGTTTCTGTAGGCCAAAACAGTTTCTCTGCGACCAGATTTTGTTCCTTTAATACTACATACTAGCCAGTTATTTTCCACTTCATACCTTTTTTCTTTAAATGAATGCTAGTGGTCATTTAAGATTTTCAGACTCTCAGTCTGTCAACTCAGAGGTCTCCAGAAACTTCATGTGTCCCTATAATTCTAGACACTTCCTAGTGATAATGTGTGCAGACCGTGGTTCCCAGTGTGGAGGAAAACTCAGGTAGAAACACACACAAAAACGATATGCAGGAGGGGATTTGTAGAACAAGGAGGATCACACAAGCGGGACGTACGCTGAAGATGACTGTAGGTTTATTTCCAACAATGGATGGAGGGCAGTTACAAGCATTTCAGAACATGAAATTTTTCTGTTTTCTTATAATCTGAATATCTCCCTATCCCATAACCCACTACCCCTCATCCCACTTTGGTTGCTTAGGCAGTTTTCAGCACTATCTTAAATTACTGTTTAGTTTTTGTGCCTCTTTCCCAATGTAATATTTTAGTTCCAAAACAACTATGACTTGGTCTGTCCACAAGGCCTGGTCAAAATATACAAGAGCGTTTACACTTTCAGAAATGTGTCACGGTGAGAGACTCACTGTGAAGACGGTGAGATGAGCGAGTGCAAAGTGCGGCAGTGTGTTTGAGTATTTTGAGAGGGATGAGTAGCAATGAGTGTTTTATCTTAATTTTTAAAAATTTAAACATTCACCACATTTTTGATCAATCCTCCAACTTAATTTACAGACTTTTAAAGTCTTGAATAGTGCCTACTATATTCCTCAAGTCAGGAATGGATACATTTTTTAAAAACCCCCATTTCACTGTAGTTATAGGGATTAAGCCTTGGAAATTAAGTTTTATACTTTCTGACCTAAAACCTGAGACTTTTTGAAAGAGAGGAGAAAGTTAGTAGTTCTCCATCTAGCTGTATATATCAGTATCACAACTGTATCGCAACTGTCATGATAACCTTGCATAGATGGTTTAACCACATTATTCTGTAGTTCTATATGTTTAATCATGATTGCTTCTAAGATAGGAGAACATAAGCAGAACGGGGGACTCTGACTTTTTGTTGTATATATTTGTAGCCTTTAAAAATTGTATTATACTTTTTAAATAATGAAACAACTTTTAAAAGGACATATTTGATCATTATATAAAATATAAACATTTGACTTATAAATGTGTGAGCTCAAATAACCAGACCCAATTGAAATAGTTTTTAAAATACTGAAAGCCACAAATGCTTTCAGTTATTATCAGGTATTCCTGAGAAAGTATAGATAAGTAGATAGTTTCGGAAAATTGAAAATTCTTCCCCTGCTTTAAGTTTCATATATTGACAGAAAGTGTCATAATAAAAGCATTGCTTCAGCAATAAAAGTCCGCCTGAAGGACGGGGGATAGAGGAAATATTAGCCCATTTGTATTCATTTTGGTCTAGGCTGGAGACTGTAAGTCGGGTAACTGAGAGTCGAGGCTCCTTGCCTACATTTCTAATGACCCTGAAATAGTTCTTTATGATTCTGAGTCAATATATTAAAAAGATGAGCTGGGATCTCAGGTGCAGAAGGCGGTGAACCCTGATCGGCAGCCCCAGGTTGCCGGGGGAGGAGAGTGCAGACAGCCTTGTTCTCTTCTCTTCTGACTAAACCGGTGGAGGGTTAGATGAGATGAATTCCGTGGGTCGGAGTTGATATCAGCAAGAAATGGTGTTTTTCTCATGGAATCTTTGTACCTACGGCAGAGACCTCAGCTGCATCACAGAACAGGCAGCCATCGCTGTGGTGAGGAATACATTAGCGCAGGCGGCAGGCAGAGCAGAACTTGGGGGATCTCTGGCAAGTCTTGGGGCTGGAGGCGCCAGCTTGTGTCTGTCTGTCTGTCTGTCTGTCTCTGTCTTTTGGGATGAAAGGGTGCTGGGAATTTTAAAACATTTTGTATCTATGACTGACAGTGGTTCAGAGAGTTTGTGGGCATCATAATTCTGTAAAGAAAAACATCCCCCCAAAAAGAAAGACATCCAAGGAAATCAGTATTCTCACACATCACAGCTCACTAGAAAGTCTAAGCTCCTTTTTAATCTTTTGAAGAAGAAATCTTAGTGGTCTCACCTGTAACACACACACACACACACACACACACACACACACACACACACACACACAGATCTCGTGGCAGGTTAGCAGTAGCTCACGTGAAGAGACGCCAAGTGTTTCAAAGACTGGCACTTTTCCACCCCTCTCTAACATGCTAATAGGCTGGCAGTGATCATGGTTTTAGCTTTTAAATTCAACCTGGGAACAAATGTCACTGAAATGCCAGGGTAGGAAAAGATTATCTTCCAGTGAAAATCAGGCTGTGAAGGTTCAAAATACATAATTAAAATGCTTGAACTAAATCCCGCATATTATGGCAAAATCAATTTATAATTAGGAAAAATCAGGTTAATTTCAGCCCAATCAGTAAATTGTCAAGAGGGATTTTTGTTATTGTTAATGTGGTAGCAGCTGCCATTACCCGAAGATGTTGACAGGGTAAGAAACAGAAATGAGCCTGAGAAAAACTGAAATACCAGGCTTTTAGGAGACAGAAGTATGCACAGTCCCCAAAGCAGCTCACCATTTCAGGGGGTGAATAAAACGTGTCCTGCCGTATGCTGAGGTAGGTTTTCTTCATGGCCTTTATATCGTTTCTCTGCTTCGCCTGAGACTGAGTTTAAAGCCTCGGTTTGTCACTCTCTGTGTAAGCTAGGGTCATGGTTTAAGCTCCTTGTGCTACAGGGTTGTGGAGGAAGTAGATGAGGTAACATCTGTAAAAAGATTTCTAGGACAATCACCTGAACCAAGCAAGTGCTTCAGAAAAAGCAGGTATCCAGGTCCTATACCCCTGCCGTGTCCCTCTCTTATTCTTGCTTCTCTGTTAAGAAACATCTGTGTAGAGAATACAGCAGAGGAAGTAGTGTTCTGAGTCCATAGCTAGGCTCAGGCTGCTTTCTGTCCCCATGTTTGCCCAGCCTCAGGGACCTCTTAGTATCACAGCATAGCAGCACCTGACGTATTCACCTTCACCCCTTGGCCAGCAACATCCTTGGTTCTGAATCTGATCGAGACCTGTTGTCTCACGAACCAGCCGGAACCACGTCGGCTCTCGTCACTGGACAGGTCCAAGTGTCCTGCACCTGGGCTTCAGTCTTCAGGAGGAACATACTCTGTGCCGAATCTTCCAGAACCCCTCACTCTCTCCAGACCCACACTCACACCTAAGCTGCTTATCCTGCATCAGGTTGGGTACTTACGCTCTCTCTCAGACCTACTCAGTCGGAACTTACACGGCAGTGCCGTGAGTTCTTAGATTGTGCTACGAAGTCTCAAGTAGCTTGAAGTCTTTAGAATACATCACAGTGTTACCTTTGGAGCTTTTTAGTACTGAAATGCAACATTTTAAAGATACTGAGTCCCAGAATTTCTAATTACCAAGCAATTCATGAGTACATACCAGAAGAAACATTGCTTCCAGGAAGTTTACTTCAGCCATGAGAAGCTCCTCTTTTAAATGGTAGGGGTCAGGCAGGGCATTTCTAGCAAGGGTAGAGGGCAGAGCTGTTCTCCTGAGACTCTTCCATCTCAGGCCCTTCTTGCATGAGGTTTGACACTAATGCAGATCCTTCGCTAAGTAAACTGCATTAAGTGTGCTAACTTCTACATGTTCGCAATAAGCCAGCTGTACTCCATTTTAACCCAAGGGAACTTAATCTTTTGCTCCGTAAGTTATAAGAAGCTGTTTAAAAACACCTTGTAAAGCCATAAGTAAATGTGTGGGAACGAATGTCAGAATGTGCCTAATAGTCCTAAAGTTGTGGAAAGCAAGTTATACCCAGACTTTAAACATTCTTTGCATCAGTTGGTTTTAAAAAATATTGCAGAAACTAATTTCAAACAAATGTTTCTAAGTGCCTGTGTACACTGGGGAGAGTTTGAATGCTGACTGCAAGTCCTGGGTTCCTCCTAATGAATCGGTTGTCCTGTTGCCTTTAAAGAAATCCTAAGTTCGGTGGACCTTAATCAAATGCTTTCAAGAGGAAAAGAAAACGGGACTTGTAAACACAGAGCAGGGCAGCTGTGTATATCGCACACCGTGCAATACTGACTGCACAGAACGCATGGCGCGGAATGGTGATTTTTAACGCTCTTTGGTAACTCAGCAGTTAAAACCCAGAATGAATGATGAAAGGAAATCGTTGGAAGCTCATCAGCTGAGTAACAAGTAGAAAATGAGTCTGAGCCCAGCCTTGGAACAAGACCTTATTGTAAAGTAAAATTTTTAAATAGGGCTGGGGATGTAGCTCCGTGTGCAGGCCCTGGGTTTAGCCCTGAGCAACACACACGCGCACACACACACACACACACACGGGCACTAGGCTTATTTTAACCTATTTTTAAAAAACCTTTTCTTGAACAAATACCATACTGTTGTTACAAAACAAGAGATTACCTTGTATAGTTAATACCTGACTATGTAAAAAATAAGTACATTCATATTTACACGTAATCCAATATATTTAGGTCTAAAATGAAATAATTACAATAAAGCAGTATTTGAAGGAATGGTCTGTTGTAATTGAATGACAAGCTGGCTGTCCAGATGATCATAATTACATGTAAAGTTATCTACTTAAAATAGGTATGATGAAAAATATTCTACTTTGAAGACTAAAAGTAAAATTCAGCTATTGTGAAGTGTTATTCAGAGCTAAAATTGCCTACAAATTTTAAGTAAACTATTTTATTTTAAAAACATTCCTTTCAAAATGTGCATTTAAGTTTTTCTCTGGTGAAATAAGATCTTAATATCTTCCTGAAAGAATTAAAAGCATCGTACAGTGATATATGCATACCCGTGTATATAGCAGCACCGTTTGCCATAGATAAATCTTGGAAATAGCGCACATACCCACCAACTGATGAATGGGTAAAGAAGTGAAGAAGTACTACTGGGCTGAAAAGGATGAGCTTGAGACATTTCTAGCTGAATGGGTGCACCTGAGTCCACACTCTTCAGAGATAACTCAGATACACACATGTAAACACACTGTTTCTCTGGTGTGAGAAAATGAAAGTGTAAATAAGGACCAAAGTGTATAACAGATATTATGAACAGGAAGAAAATGTTCAGATGGGAAGGGGAACTAGGAAGTGGGGAGGGAGGAAGAAAGGAAAGGGAAAAAGGAGAAAAGAAAAAAATGGAAACAAAGCTTTTGTAAATAACGAGGGGAAGAGGAGTTGAAGGGAGGGTTGGGAAATGGGGGAAAACAGAATCAAGTATGTCACAGGTACTCATATTCCCTGTGATGAATGTGATACTATGTGTACCTAAAATGTACTGATAAATTTAACGAATTTTTAAAAAAGAAATAAGACCTGAATAACTTTGTAACTATTTCTATGGGAATTTTTCCACATTCTCTTTAATGCCTAAAATGAAAGGAATGATTTCCAGAAGTATGTTCTAAGAAAAGAAATATATGTGACCAATAATAGCTATGGCTTTCCTAGATAGTTTTATGTTTAAATTAATGCAATAATGAAAAAATGTTAAGTAGATATTGCTTATATTTCGCCCAAGAAAGTATTATTAGGGAAATTGTCCAAGTGCTGTCATCTCTGATTACAATTCACATTTAATGAACGATGAACATTTCTAGGAAACCTGTGAATGCATACAGAAACAGTTCTGGCATTGCATTTTTTATTCTGTTTAGAATAACGCACAACCGTAACTGCTTTCCAGCTAAGGTATGCTTCTAGTGAAGGGGTGATAAAAGCAAATCACATGTAATTTGAAGAAAATGGCTAAATTCATCACAGTTCCGTGGTTACCACAGTCGCTGTTTAAAATGCTTCTTGAAGTAAGATTTTCTCTTACTCTGATCCTGTTCTTCCCCTGACAGACAAGTGAATTACTTTAATAGGACAGAGATTTGCAGTTCTGCTCCTCATCAGGCGAACATGTCCGCTTTGACTCAGTCCAAGTCCATGGACCGGGACGTGCTGTGTACCGCAGCTGTTGATGTTTAGGTCAGGGTCCGGGTCTCCTTCTTTCTTGTATCTTAGGTGCATCACGAAAAGTCTTATGTACAAAATGGGAGAGTGCGTGAATGAAGGAGCGGGATGGGGTGAAATAATGCTGCAGTTATTTTAGAGTTAGGAGTTCAAGCATTTGTGTTCAAGGTATTAGCTCCAGCTGTAGCATGCAATGCTGTGTGTAAAAGTCACTCACTGACTGCAACTGCTGTCAGCCTCACAGGCAGGCACTCATCTTTTTAGGAAGACCCAACTAAACTGTCCCTCAGATTGTGTAGATTTTAACTGGTACATGGCAAAAGAAGAAGTTTGCCCAGTTACTTGCAGTCTGAGAATTATTGCTCATGACTAGTGATGCCCGAGGCCTTCAAAATGATCCAGTCAGTGAGAGTTGTGTGCTGTTGTCCCAGCGCTTCTACCCTGATGCCTCTCTCCTATGAATTGATGGCCACCAGCACAGTATCTGGTGTTTGATGTGTATTGTCTTCATCCTTTTGGATTTTTTGTGTGTGAATGTGTTCTTGCCTCTAAACTATAAACTCCCGAAAGGTGTGAATTGTTGAGATTTTCTGTAACCTATAAAACTCCTCACATGATTACACTGAGTTAAGGATGACTATTTTTCTGAGAATCATTTTGTTGAGCTTACAGGCAGGTACTCATGAGAGTGTTTCGAGATACTAAAAGGAGTAGTCAAAATCCTCCCAAAGATTATAAAATTCTAAATGGATATTCTTACTGTTTATTCCACAGTGCCTCATTTGGGACACTAATCATTAAGTTCCAAATTAGTTTAGACACTCATAGTACCCACGTTACGAAACACAGGCTGTTGGGGGTTTTAACAGTAGCTGAGTAACAGATGCTTTTTGCACTATGACAGTACAGTGTCATTTTGTAGATATTTCCCGTCTAGGAGTTTGTTTTGCTTTACATTAGCTGCAAAGCATTTTGGTTTTGGCAGCAGACAACTTTGCTTCCAAGGACCTGATTGGTTCCTGCTGTACGCATTCACACCCCACTGAACGGGAGCAGTTACACACTGACCGTCACGCAGACTGCCCCCGCCGTCATAGCTGCAGACACGTCGGCTGTGACAGGTCGCCAGCGTGGAGGTGTGTGACTTCACCAACTGAACGCGCTCCCGTTTGTGTGCTTTGGCAGGAGGAAGCACTGCGTGGGTTTCGAGTGAGTGACTACTTTGAATACATGGAGATGTTGGAGCAGAACTACCGACCAGCACTGCTGAGGGATATGCGGAGCATCAGAGTGCAGACCACATAGGTCGCAGGATGCAGCTTAATTTATGTCTTACTCATTTTTAGAGGAAACCAAGGACTCGATTATTTTCTATCTGCATGTACAACATATGCTTTGTGATAGACGTTATAAGTCAGTACTGAGAGGTTTTGAATATGATAACATATTCAAGTTGGCATCAGCCTAATTTGTGAAAGAAGTTCCTTTTGGTGAGTGCCTTGCTCTGGGACGTTTTACGGTCACACGTGGCTGACTTGTAGCTGCTGTTTATGTTTAGGAGTTAGCGCCGGCCTACTGCTCCATCGGCATCTTTACCAGGTGATGGAAATATTTGTTCCAATGAGTGTGGGAAGTAGTAATAGTATAAATAAATGTTTTATTGAAGAATCTACGAGATAAGGAAAAACAGTTGTTTCTCCAGTATTTGTGTCTCTTTATGTACAGGAAAACGGACAGCAGCACATCTGCTTATTTTACATCTGGAAGAACAAATATTTTTCACAGCATATGATAGAAGAACTACTATTCCTATACATAATTGTTTTTCTAGGAGATGCTTTTGGTACCTGTATCAACTTGTAATTTTTAATAATTTTTTATTTGAAATGTCATCTTTATATGGTTCATGTAAAGGATACAGTGGTTATTTTATACTGATAAGCATTGTACTTGTATTTGTTGTACATTTCTTTAGTTATAGATTTGATGTATGTTGAATCTGAAAATATAAGGGGGAATACATTTCTAAATTATTTGGAATGACTGACACTATGTTTTATTTAAATAGAAGTCTGTGTGCCAGTGAGAGTAGTACTCTATGTGGTGGTCTATGTTTGTAACTGTCGAATGTCCTCTGTAAATGGAAGCGCGTGAATATATTGAATTATCCTTAGTCATCAACATTTCAAATTTTTTTACATGGAAGAAGTCATTCTGTATTGTTTATGTATAACTGTAATTTGCCCATTAAAGCCATTCTGAAACTAAAGCTTACTTCCCCTTTTCCCCAAAAACGAATTGTCTACAACTTACTTTCCCTGTTAGCATGTGAAAGCCCTGGTCCTGCGCAGTTTTCAGTGGTGAGGTTTAGACTGTTGCAGGGTCAGCCTTCCCGAATCGAGTCTGTGCAAATGCCCGCGCAGGGGTTCGGTAGTGTCCGTAAAGGGCGTGGCAAAGCTGCGCGAATAAACTGAGCGAGTCAGTTTGGCACCGCGAGCACTGTGGCCCTGCTGCTGTGAGTTCAGTGAGAGCCTCGGTGAGCCAAGCGCCGAGCGTTGTCTGCTTCCAGACTGCCCTGAGAAGGATGTTCCGTGCAACCTGTAGTTCTTGTTTCTGTTTCTTCTCATTCTGTCTCAGAGTTACTGGAATTAGAGGCGGAGAAGGAACTGTGGTTTAATTCTACGTCCCTGGTCACTGTGATTGGAAAGTGAGGTAAGGTCTAGATTGTGACAGTTTAATTTGAAAAAAGTGACTTCAGCTGGAGCCAGAAAGCTTCCATTTGACGGATTCGAAATGTCTTATGAGGGGCTGGGGATTTAGCTCAACGGCAAAGCGCCTGCCTGGCAAGCACAAGGTCGTGAGTTCAGTTCCCGGTACTGGAGAAAAACCAAAAAAAAAAAAAAAAACGAAATGTCTTATGAAAGGACTTAGCATTTAGTGGAAGAAAATGTAAAGTATGGTAGTTTGTGTAGCTCCCATCATGATTTCTTTTTCACTTAACAGTGTCCTTCGGAATACGAACACTGCGTCTTGCCTCTTTTAAAAAATTAAAGTTCAAGTCCTTAAGACAAAATTTAATTTGTGGAGGGGTGGCTCATATGTTACAAGATTCAGTTCCAAATTATATTTTATGATACAGTGTAAACGAATTTATGGAAAACATCTATAAGCCTTTGAATATGGCCTTCAAAGTTCCGTATTTGGGGGTTGGGAGTAGATATCAGTGGCAAGGCCTTGCCCAGCGGGTACTAGGACCTTGGCCCCGTCCCCGGCACCCCAGAAAACAGCTGTGCTTGCAAATAGGGCTTCTCCTGATCTTCAGCTGTCTAAGGCATCTGAAGGTGAGGTGCATCTCAAAAGTGCATCTGAAGTCCCCGAAGGACTCTACAGAAATGCACGATTATTAAATAATACTGTGCTCCTGTTCAATTTTTTAAATTCCTAGATGTATAAGAAATTTCCATGGTTATTCATTAAGCAGACATTTTAAGGGCTACATATACAAAGTACTTTTGATGTTCAAATAGCAAAATAGATGAGATGAGCTCTTCATTCCCCTTCCACTCACAGAGTTCACTGTCCTCACGGGAAGATGAATAACTTAAAGCATGGAAATACAAGGATGACAAGAGAATCAATTTCTGTATTTGGTGACCTTGATAAGTTTCGATCCAGTAGTAAGGGCAGCTGTTGGGATTGGGTTTATATGATGCTAAGTGGAAAGACCTGGAAAACTGCTCTTTCTAGAGTATCACTGTGGGGGCGGTGGCTTGCCAAGCGTGAGATCAAAGACACTGCGGTGGGGATTTTGTTGTTACTTAGGACGGAAACGAAGCATGTTTCTATTTTGGTGGAACTGATATGATGAAGAGGGGAAAACTGGTGACGGGGTTGGGCTGGAGTGAATGTTAAGAGTCGCTGGAGGAGAGAGGAATGGGGTTTGGTACGTGGCGGAGTTGTCCCGGGAGCCAGTGAGTGGACACAGACGTAGGGTGGACACGGTCACAAAGGATGCAGTCACAAAGGCCATCAGCGGAGAGCATGGAAGAGGCGTGCAGGGTGGTAAGAGACGAGAATATGTGGAACAATTGTCAGAGATGACAGGACATTGCAAGGTCTGGGAAATACAGCACAGCAGTGATGTAGTGGTCATGGGGTGACGTAGTAAAGTTGTATTTTTTCTCCATCCACCTGTTTGCTGTGCTGGGGCGAACAAGGAGTTGAAGTGGTTCTCACCAGGCGTTGGCTCAGCCGTGGGCAACATGCAACCAAGAAAGGTGGAGTGGTTTGGGGCAGCGGTTTGCCCGGTGAGTGCCGGGCCATGATACCATGATCGTTCACCCTGTATGACAGTCAAATCAGAATGGAGCAGGGAACTAGATATAAAAAGAGATGTTAAATATGTGCAAGGTAAAATAGGCCTTGAACACATAAGCAAGGATTTTCTGAACAGAACCCCAGGAGCCCAAAAACTAACACCAAGAATCAATAAATGGGGTCATTGCAAATTACAAAGCTGCACAGCAAGGAATCAAAGTCAAGTCACAACCTACAGAGTGGGGAAAAATTTCCTCCACGTACTGAGATAAAAGCCTGATATCTAGAATACATAGAGAGCTAAAAAATTAGTTCCCCCCAAAGTAAAAGATCTGATCAGAAAATGGGCAAGTGAAAGGAATAGACATTTTTCAGAAGTAGTAGAAAGGGCAGTAAGTATATGAAAAAGTGTCCAGCATCTTTAGTCATTAGAGAAATGCAAATCAAAACAACGCTGAGATTCCGTCTTACTCCAGGAAGAGTGGTTATCATCAGGAACTCCAAAAACACAAATTCTGGTGAGGTGGGGAAAGCAACCCTCCTACATTGCTGGTGGGAATGTAAATTAGTACAACCACTGTGAGAACCAGTATGGAGATTCCTCAAAAAACCAAAAACAGGAATTCCTTCTGGATATCTTGTGAAAGAGTTAAAAGCACTATGTTACAGGGGTGTATGCCTACCCACATTTGTGGCAGCACAATTTATAATAACTAAATTTGAGAAAGTACTACTTAGCCGTAGAACAGGATAATTTGAATCATTTGTAGGAAAATGAATGCATCTTGAGACCATAAAGCTAAGTGAAATACATCAGACCCACAGGGTTAAATACCAAAATGCAAAAACGTTAATGAGAAAAATAAAAGAGAGATGTAGGAAATGGAGCAGACTTTGTGGAGCTGGGAAAGGGGATCTGGAGGTGAGTGAAGGGCCAGGAAGAGAAAGGGAAATAAAAATGATTAAGATGTGGTAAGTGTGAGTACCATTTTCCCAAGATGAGCACAATTACATATTGCAAATTTCACACCAGTGAAATTTTATATTTCACACCAGTGAAATATAAAAGTTTATTGATATGGGAAGTGGAGATGAGGGTGGGTAAATGACTGTGAAGGTTGACAGGACCAGTAGATACAGGTTCTTCTGTATGGGAGATTGTTGGATTTGGAGAATTCAAGAGAAGAGAAAGAAGCCATTAGACCCGAGAGATGTTAAGTGCGGTGCTTAAAATTGAGATTTTTGGAAAGTGAATAGCTAGGGGAGAATAGAGGATGAGTCATCATCTGAGAAAGGAATATTCACACAACTCAGTAGAAACATCATGTGTTTTTGGAACTGGGGTCGAACTCAGGACCTCGTGTTTGCCAGGCAGGCACCGTGCCACTGAGCTATGCCCCTAGCCCAGAAACTTCATTTTTGACATGAAGTTCTTTGGATAGCTTCAAAATAAGCCAAAAGCTAAAATCTTCATAGATTAGTGAAGAAAAAAAATACAGGAAATTTTAAAGTGCATAAGTAAATGAAAATGTTGTGCACTTGTTTTAACATACCTACTTCAAATAAAATGCATCTGTAATTTTTTCAAGCCTTTATTTAGGCAAACATTTCATACCAAACAAACCACAAACTGTAAAAGAAAATATTGATAAAATTTCATAGACATTATAATACACTCTGAAATGAAAAGCCACAAGAAAGTAGATTTGTAAAACATTGCACCTAGTGAAAGGCCTTGTCAGATTACATAAAGTTTCTAACCACTCAGTAATAAGAGAACAACCAACTCCGTAATAGCTAAATCCCTTTCCTCCCTCCCTCCCTTTCTTTTCCCTTTCTGTGCGTGCGTGCATTTGTGTGTGTGTGTGTGTGTGTCTGGGGAGCAAATCTAGAGCCTCCTGCGTGCTACTGAAGAGTTCTGCCACTGAGGTACATCCCCAGCTCAATAGGCAAATTATTTAAACACATTACCAAAGAAAATACACACAGCCGGCTGGCACATGCAAAATACTGCCCATCATCGCTCTTGGGGCTCAAGGCAACCAGGAGACAACCACCATACACGAACATGCTAAAACCTGTGAAATGAATCTCAGTGAAAACGTGGTTGCAACGGACATGAAAGGGGAGCATCTGGAACTCGTATTTCTTGTAGACCTGCAATGGCAATTTTGGAGGGTTTTAAATGAGGTTAAACACACACCTAATGATATGACTCAGTAAACACTTGCTAGGTATTTCTCCAAAAAAAAAAAATAAATAAAATACATTTCCATAGAACAACTTACACATAGCTGAGTAATACTCCATTGTATAAAAATACATTTTTCTTATCCACTCCTCAGTTGATGGGCATTTGGGTTGTTTCCAAGATTTAGCTATGACAAATTGTGCTGCTATAAATATGGGTGCACATATATTGCTGTGGTATGGTGTTTTTAATTCTTCTGGAAAAATACCCAGAAGGGGGATAGCTGGGTTGAATGGGACCTTTAATCCTAATTTTTTGAGAAATTTCCAGACTGATTTCCAAAGTGGTTGCACCAGTCTACATTGCCACCAATGGTGGAGAAGGGTTCCTTTTCCCCACAGCCCCTCCAGCATTTGTTGTTGGTTGATTTCTTGTGATAACCATTCTTACTGGGGTGAGATGAAATCTCAGTGTTCTTTTTATTTGCATTTCTCAAATGACTAATGATATTAAACATTTTCTCCTGTATATATTTACCATTTGTATTTCTTTATCTGAGAAGTTTATGTTCATCTCAGATGCCCATTTTTGGATTGGGTCCTTGAATTTGGGGAATCCGAGTTTTTTTTTTAATTCTTTATGTGTTCTAGATATAAGTCTTTTGTGTAAGGGACAGTTAGCTAAAATGTTTTCCCGCTCTATGGGCTGTATTTTCACTCTTATTTGTTGTTTCTATTGAAGTACAAAAGCTTTTTAAAAGG